CTTACCTATACCTACCCAAAGCCCACGAGTAAGTAACCCATACGGGTACCCGTGGACCTTTTACACCCTACCGATTCCATCCGGTGTCCCACCCGTCGCCACCCTGCCTGTTTAGTTCCCCATGGAGACAATCAACGAGCTTCCCCTGTCGGATGCCCATATCGTCCGCGCTGACTTTGGCGAGTCATACCGCCCTTCGCAAGAGTCAAAATTCGAATGTTGCACGCCGGTGCATTCTCGCCCACCAGAGGCTAGGTTTGAGCCAACGAAGCCGAAGTTATTCCCCAGCGACATCTGGACCCTCGCATGTGCTGTCTGGGCCACTCTGGCCCAGCGGTCCTTGTTCGAGATGTTCATGGGTACCGAGGACACTGTGACGTGGATCCAGGTCCAAGCTCTCGGAAAGCTGCCTGATGAATGGTGGGAGAAATGGGATGCGCGCTCAGAGGACTTCACGGAAGATGGCCAGCCTATTCGAGTTAATGACAGTCCTGTGTATACCTTTGACTACCAGTTTGAGAACGCTATACAAGAAGGGCGGAGAAGATGTAAAATGGAGACGATGGATTTAGCTGAGAAGGAAGCTCTGCTTGCCATGTTGCGGCCGATGCTGGCGTACAGGCCGGAGCAACGTTGCAGCGTCAAGGAGGTTCTTGGATCGGAGTGGATGACCAGGTACGCGATGCCGGACTACGAGAGGCTGCGTGGAGGCCGACGGTAGACTGCACTGGGCCCTTTCTAACTTACCGAGCCGGGTATGGCTGGCTCACAACGAGAGTTGCCTGGTTGGATACCTTGCGAGCTAGCGACCATCGCACCTGTTAGGGGGAAGAGTGGACTGAGTCACGTAACTAAGGAGAAAAACAAGCATCAATACAACCAATTCCCTCAATTATGAATATACACACCCTCTGATCCATGGTACACCAAACCATCCGACTCTGACGACCCCGAAGCAGGGCGAGGTACTTGTATGTTGGACGAAAAGTGACTTCGAAGAGGCCGATGGTGCGGCCGTTGACGTCGCTTGGAGGTTCGGCTCACAATCACATGTGATTGGTGCTTGGCGTGAAGGAAGGCAAGATTAGCGAAATTGCAGTAGCATTCAGTTGTCTTGATCAAGCTGACAACAAGGCTGTGAAGCCAGGAGTGTGCGATGCTTGGGCATCGGCGAGGCTGAACCCTCATCATACAACCACCCTCTGCACTTGGAGCGAATCAGATAACGGAAGTACGGACTGTATAACATGAGTCACAGTAGGCTTTGTGCGCGTCTCTCTTGAATCGGGTTGTATGTCTCTTTTCTCTTCTGCATTAATTTCTTACCAATCGCCCGGTCGGATGTCATAACGTCACTTTTCAAATTGCCTCCTGAGACTCTAATTCAAATCTTCGATCAAGTAGGCTCATCTTTTTTCCACGGGGATTTGGGTCGCCTCACGGCCTGTAAACAATGGGTCAATTACGCCTTCCTCTATGTTTAAAGTGCATTAAACTTTCGCAAGGGTCTCTACATTGTAGTAAGCTCCCAACTTATCAAAGGGCCATCTCTAATTCAGGTTAGCCTGTAAATCCTAGACCTTGATCTGAGCGGGAATAATGCCTATTTTTCTACATCATATCCCCAAGAATATGCTTCGAAATCGAGCCCATCAAAAGACAGTCACCCGGATGAGGCTCTTAGCGAAGAAAAACCCAGAAACCTTAAAAATTATCTCGCCCAACTCACTATTATAGCCCAGAAATCTCACAGGTTGCGCACCTTGCCCATACGAGCCTTGGGCTGTCCCCCTCCTCACCTGCCCGAAAGTCATGACAATTATCTGCCTCTACCAGCGAAGAAAGCCTTGATTTCGATGGAGAATCTCGACGTTCTAGTGCTGGATCTATCCGTTAGCGTTCTGACCCCATCGGGGGAGCAAGGGGGTAGCCATCATATCTGTCCAACCATCGGCATGATTCTTCGCACGATCCGGAGCCTGCAGCATCTGCTCTGATGTTTTGAAGCCCCAGGATACGAACCAAAATCTGCACTTGAGTGAAGTGGTCAGCAACTTGAGCCTGAATACCGACCTATCAGGGATGATCTCCGCGACTCACTCTAAACCATGTGGTTCTCAGGGAGGACTGCTTCAACTAAAGGCGGACATACAATAGCATGCAGAAGCTCTCGCAACCAAAGTGGCGTCGTCCAAAGTTGTGAGGATACTGACTCATACACTCCCTCTGTTTGAAACACAGTCACTCGACGTCTTGACTGGCAAGACTATGATTCTGAACGATGATATGGCGTGGGTTGAAGATGACAAGACTGTTGGAGAGGACTCTGAACCAGATTCTGAGCTGCTAGATGAGGAATTTGAAACCTTTTTGGATGACTGAAATATTATGTTTATGACCAGCTCTATCTACCGGGGTCCACAACCCCAGCATAGCGGCAACTTATCTTGGAGCAGTATGAGCTTAGCCGAGGCATGGAGATGAAACTTGCTGACTTGAGTTTCATGTCTGGGTAGCCTAGCATGAGATTGTGTTAATTGAGTGGAAGCGGAATATCCATCAAACACTACGCCAGTCTAAGGGAGCCAATAGGTCTGTTTTCACCGCAGGGTATTGTAGGCCTTACGATGTCATCCGCAGTCAAATTCGCCCTGTATACCAAAGAAATCTGCAGTGACGTGACAGATTCTTACTCGCAGGGATCTGTCGCTTACAGCGGAATATGTATGTGGCTCTTTTAGGCCCGTAAGTCTTACGTTTTGAGTTGTGGCGAGCTGAAATCGTCCGGACTTGCAGCCGATGCAACCATTAGACTGCTTGTGTCACACGGATAAATGACATATCCTTCCGAAGACGGTCCATCTATCCTGATATAGCCGAAATCGGCTGCATCAGCACGAAGGATGCATCGTGACGGACCATAAGGAGGTCAGGGGGTCACACCAGGCCTTGGTCATCCCCGTCAGGTTACACACACCCAGATTCCCATGCACGTATACAGCCTACAGGTCAAGGGTCGGGTCCCCAGATTAACTGAATCAGGACCTTTTGGACTCAGAGATAATTTTAAAGCTATTCATAAGCCCTCTATAAAGCCCTTGTCACAGCATGCGGAATGACAACTCTATGACTATGGCAACGATAGGGTAAGCCGGATAATAATCGCTCCAGTAGGGCCATTAAATGTTCTCTAGTCGCCACGTCAGATGATTTCTTTGCGTCAGTTTGAAGTTTGTGGGACAGGCAATAGTCTTCTGTGGAGGACTCAAAGGTGCAGTATGGGTGGAGTGTAAAAACGGGTACCCGTGGGCACCCGTGGGTATTTAAGTTTTTCTTAGGTTATTCGTAGGCTACCTAAATACCTAATATTTCTAATAGATAATTATAAGTACTTTATTTTCCCCTATAAATCTATTTAAGTTATTTTTTCCTACCCATACCTACCCAAAGCCCACGGGTAAGCAACCTACACGGGTACCCGTGGACCTTTTACACCCTAAGTATAGGCTCCATTTTGGTGATGACCGTTGCCTAGATAAATGCAACGCTGGCCTCAGATACCAGCTGTCTGACTTGGGGATACACTTCCCATAAGATGTTATATGAAGGCCGGCGGAGTCCCGTGAATAGAGCTTACAATCTGTTCAACCGGACTGGCTTGCCTGTGAAGACAGTTCGCTGTGCCCAGAAAGATTAGCTTGATACCTAGTCAGTTGGTAAAGAGACACGGTGAGATTAACCACCTGCTTTATAGTGTATAAACTGTGCATCTTGTTATCCTGTTCTAGGGCTTGGCGTATGGCCCACCTTAATATACAGTTGATTCAATGTTTATTCGTTTGAGTGTGTGTATTTACATTTCAGCGGCTGCAGCGTTCAGCCCCAATAGCACATAGGACGTGGTGAGCTAAACTCAGTAGAATCAGTCACTATTGGAGAAGACGCATGCAATCAGATGGGTCCGGTGTACCGCGGACGTGATTGACGTACAATGCAAACTATCGCGTATCGGCAGCCTAAAAATCCTAGTACGGCAGCGTTCCTGCTAGTCTTCGCAGCAATTTTTTAGCAGTGAGGCCGTTGATATTCGAGCCAGCTACCCGTCGGGGACATGTGGGCATCAAACGTATGAAAGTAAATGGTCTCTTGCACGCGATGCGTTGGCAGTACTGCCGGCATTGCGGACAGGTGTAGACTGTGTTCATCCCGACACCGTGAATCGATAGTCGGGTAGCCATAGGGGAAAATTGAGGGAAAAACCCGCACATGGTGAAAAAATGGGCCTCGACCCCAATTTGTCGATTAATTGCACCTGCACGAAAAACCTTATGGCTCATACAATTTCGTCGCATAGCCCGCGGGAGAAGGGGTTGTCAGGTGGCTCGACTCGAATAGCAACTGTTAAGCTGAAAGCTGAAAATTGAAATGTGACATTCTGAGAGGGAAGTAAATTAATGGAATCGGCCGAGACCCTTGTAATGTCATGCCTCCTCAACCCCCGCCGCAGTGTCCTGCCTGCAGCTGATTACGTATAAACGGCGGTCTGGGGAATATGACCGACTCATATAATTTTAGATAATATCTATTTGACACCCTACTTTCCTGTCAGCCTGTCAAGAGCCCCAACTTTGGACGTTACTCTTGACGAAGGGACAACGGCGTGTTACAATCCCACTTTGAACATATCACGCACGAACAAAACAACCAGTCGTGTTTCTCATCATTTGCCAGCTGCCCTTCGAAATCCAGTGAGCTACCTCAATGCAGAGCATAAAATATGGCTGATAAGAGCAAAAGATTCGTTCCTTGAACGTAGGGGTGTCGACGCCTTCAACAAATGCACCTCTTCCCCCGCATCATCCCACCAATGTTTGGTTACACTGCCGAGAAAATGGGCCGGGGAAAAAACGGTAGGACATGCTTAAATTTGACCCCGGAATAGGTCTCACAGCGTTGGGTGTTCTTCCTGCATCGGGCTGGACCACCGTTTTGTGTCAATGCGTATTACAGCACCAAATCAAATCCTTGTAGGTAGCTCTGCATGCTACGCTGAGACGGGTTCCGTTCCAGCCCAAAGGTTTGTTCCAACTGCTTTCCGGGAGCGGCAATGTTTGGAAACTTCCAAATTCCCTTTGATAAAGCCAGTCCATCACATTCATCTCGGAAGACATGGTTTAGCACGTGGTTGGTCAGGATTCCTTTCCTGTAACGATACAAAAAGGACCAATATTAGATTCATTTGACTTTACAGATGATGTGCTGTATCTCATGGGGCTCGGCAAAGTTGAAGCTCACAATGTGGTCAAATTGCGCGCTCTCGTAGCTTAAGGATTCGAGCTTGGCCGACAGGTAAGAAAAGCTTCAGATGCTGTAATTCTGCAAATATAGCAAAGAGCAGGTGACACCAAAGTCGCTAGTTGTCACAGTTTTGAGGTTACAATGCTTACGCTCTCAGCAGGCAGACTCCAATATTACGGGCTACCTTGCAGAGCAGCCCCCAGTGTCCCCTTTTCGACGCGTCAAATGCATTCGTTACCAGGCTTCGCAGCACCACAGTTGGCCTGCAAGAAAAAGACGGACTTGGGGCAGCCTCTTTATCCACCTGGGCTGACTCGTGTAAGAGTTGACACGACGCAAGTTGCATGGAAGCCAGCTATGGTCACCAAACTTCATACATTGACATGCGCCGCACGGCATGTATACTATTTAAGATGGGAATAGCAAATTGCTCTTACGTCGAGCTAGAAAGTAGACAGATGATGTAAAATTCTCTCAGGAAAAGACCAAACGTAATAGTATAAACTTATCGTGCTTGAAAAATGAAGTCCCGCTCGCCCGACTCAGTTCTGATCCAAGTGAGCACGCACTACGTCGCTAATTGCCGTTGGCAACATCCATGCAACAATTGTCAAAAACATTGACCATTCTGCAAGGCCTCATCCCTGGTAGTATGCATGAGTATGGTATGTGGTTGCAATATTGGCTGAACTCCTATGCAGTCGTGACAACATTGTGGGCACTATTTTCAGCCGATTTCAATTTGTTTGTTCTCGCGACGGTCATCCCACCAACTGTGTTCCTCATACCTCGGTCTATAAAGGACATCTGGGGTTACTTTTGTACCTGGCTATTCCCGTAAACGCCTATAAATGTAGTCATGCGTCCTTGCTTGCATCTCCCCTGCCCTCTATTTCCACCCACAAATATTCCCTACCAGCTGCGCTAGTAATCAACTCTACCAAAACTCTTCAAGTTCAACCATGCGCGTGTCGACTCTTCTTACAGTTGTCTGTGCGGAACTTGCCTGTGCTGGCGTGCCAGCAGCCAGACAGGCTGACCCCGATGTTGCAGCGCCGGATGTAGCAAGTCCACAGGCGGTTATTGTGAGTAAAACCAGTATCGCCTCGCAATGTCTATGATTCTCCCCTAGCTTACCACTTTTATCGGCATGCATTAGGCAAGAATTTCCCGTGGGGTGCATTACCGCGATCCTCATTTCGATGTTACCCTCATTGATATTTGCGTCACACTCCCGCAATTTTTGTACGATATAAGATGGCCACTATGCTCTGCAATCTTATAGAGAGGAGACTGATATTGCTCTACATTCCAGACGCCACAAGACTGGCTCTATGCGGATTACCGAGGCTAATATTGCTTGCAATCTTTACTCGTAGGCTACATACGGTCTTGCCAAGCTTTTATCTCGCAACGGCTAACTTGGAATCTTAGCGATCTCCGCTGCCAGAACTCCATCTATGATAGGTTGGAGACAAGTATACCTAATTTGGCATCTATTGGCGCGCTTAATGCTATCGGAAGTGTTAGATGCTACCACAGGACGTAAAGTGCGCTTGACGGTTGAGAATGCTGAGAAGGTGTGCCATGTAGGCGCGTGCTTTTTGTCATGGGAATTGGTTTACCTATGCTGTTATGAAAATAAAATGGCCCGATATCTTACACGTGGCATTTCTCGGCACGTTTGGAAGTGAATGTTGGTTTAGTTATTGGTAGCCAATCCACGACCCGCTAACACAGCACGTCCAACACCAGGGAAAATAATAGCCGCATCTATTGTGTAGCGTGGGTGTTCAATTGAGATTCATTATTCAGCATCGGGATATGGAATTAATTGCTTCCTTCGGCAGGTACTCATAGCGTGAGTAGTTACGGGATTGTTGAACATATCAAGCAAAAATAAAAGCTCCTTCCCAGGGTCATCTGCCTGCACAACCACCATTAAGATCCGCGCACCGCTGGTAAATGTCCCATCTACAGAGCCGATTTCTCCTTGCCGCTGCGGAACTTCCTCTGGGCATCGAGAACAAGAATGACGTGCCGAGCCGTGGCAAGGAGCTCCATATCCTCATCACAAATAGTAAAATCCATGTCCATTCTTCCGTTCTGTAACTTCTTGGTAGCAGCTCTTGTAAATACCCAACGACGTCCTTCCCGAGGAAGCCTCCGCTTATACTGAATGTCCATAGTAAGAGTAATATTAAAGTGGGTAGCTTTCATTGCATCAGCAATAGAGTTAGTTATCACGCAAGGCACCCCAGGGTTCTCCCTGGCCCACTGTTCCATCTGCTTGTGGAATGTATGAGCATCATAGGGGCCGCCGTTGTATAGAAGCGTATCCGACATGGAGGGGGTACTATCGGCAATCAAGGCCAGGTAGGTAGCGTCCATACGCTCGTCTGCAACGAAGCTATGCCAAGCGTCGCAAATCCCATCAACAGGAAAGCCAACACGAGGAAGCAGATCAAGCTTCCGGTGTGTCAGGGGGATAAGCTCCCCCACAACACGACCTGGAATCCAGTTCTCATCGGGCTGGTGTGCCAAGACACGATCGAAGTCGGGTACAGGCGGCGGAGGAGGCTCGAGATTCCAGGCAGTGGTCGCAGTAGGGCCGAGATCTTTGTCAAAGTTGGTTGATGTGACTAGAGCCAGCACCCTAGGCTTGCCCTCTTGTGTAAGCTGTAGCTGGAGGGTACTTGCGGCAGCGCCAACTTTGAGAGGTGTAATTGTAATCGTGCTGTTGCGAGGCTCGCATGGTCGGAGGAAGTCGAGATGCAGGCTGAGGACGTCGGGTTGGTTGCGGGCTGCTAGCGTTGGGTTGGTAGTAAGATACGTTGCGGCGGCGTGGTGAATTGCAGCGGCGATGCACCCTCCATGTAGAGCTAAAGGCAAGAGAAACAACCAGATGCCACAAGTCAGCTTGCATGATGTGTGTGCGCGGCATATAAGATGCGGTAGCTCACGTACTTAGGCCGAGAGTCCAGTCGACATGCCAAGATATGTCATAAGTATCTGGGGAGGTTTGGGAGAGATCGATTTGCTTTTTGAGGATACTACTCATTGTATTTATCGAAGCCAGATGTACGGATCCAACTCAGGGGATTCTGTATGCTGAGCAAGGCGGCCTGACGGGTATAGGTGGTAATCGCTGAATTTGGCGGCGGAAGACCACTGGGCGTGTGTGACCTAGGCACCAGAAGAAGGGTGAGATGATCTATTGACGTAACCGGAGAGGATAGAGAGCTGTATTTATAGCAAGGCCGTGAGGCGTTGGTCAACACGCCTGCGTGCGCAAGTAATTGGTTGCATGTGGTCCCCCGCTCCGATGTTTCACAACTTTTGCGAGTGTTATTATGATACATGACGGAGCTTACGCTGAGCACGAGCCCATCAGACGGCGGCAAATGCGACGTTTTCCCTCCCTGTTCTTGCAGCGACAAGCCGAAGTTCCTGTCTAGTTGGCCGGGTTTCAACTCCACACATTGTTTCCACTCTTCACGTTCAAGGCTTCCTTCCGTTCAGTTCCCCCCCGTTAATTCGCTAGCTGAACCAGATGCGTTTTCTCTCCCTACATAGCCGCGGCATCAATGCAGAGGCCAGTCGGCCTTCTTCCATTGGACCTCTGCAGAAACGATGAGATTTAGACTTCTAGTATACATATTAAGAGCAAGCATGTAAAGATGTTCGAATTTCACACGCTATGGCTCAGATTTCTAACCGCATGGCACATTAGAATGAGTTTGTCTTCTTACCATGACACTTTTGCTGTAGACGCTGGATAGTCCAAGTGAGATGAGCACTTTTCCCTTTTGTTTTATCTGCGGTCAAGAGGCATAGCTTGGTCCGACGGATGGCGTTTGCCAACAGCCACAAGTCTTCCCAGTTCTCCTACGTACAGCTCACCAGATGCTTCTGTGACGCAGTAAAGGTGAAAGCCTAGCATATTCGCCAAGCGGCTGGTGAAGGACGCCGCGTCTTTAGGGAGAGCTTTGAGCGTCCTTATACGCAAACGGGTCGTTCCGTGGGCTGGCAAGTTTTCTGAAGATGCAATCGTGGCTTTATCGTGAATGACTCAAGACCGTCGACGTACCAACAGAGCATATATGGCAAACCAGATCTGTTTATCGACAGCGCTACGCCGGGCAATATGTTAGCTTGTATAATGGCAGCACTAAGCCCCTTTTCTACATGATTTGGGGCATGACGTACCCGGTTCACTTTCGAGTAGACATGTTGATGAAGTGGTTCCGATAATTGACTGTGTGATTGAGAGGGAGAATTGGCTCGATGTAGGTGAGTGGTTTTCGAAACTTGCCTCTTATAGTGACAATTACTCTTTGTTTTGTTTGAATGCAAATCCAGCCACTGCTGGCACTACATCTCGAAATAGCCTGGTTGTGTTTCCCACCTCATACCGTCTAGCTGGCCATCCCTACGCTGGTAAAATTTGCTTCCTCTTCCACATTAGCAAGGCGGCGAAGATCTGAGCGCCTCCAAAGCCGCAAAGAAGAAGCATTTGGTAATTGTACCCATCGGCGAGAACTCTGCCCACGTCATCCCGCAATTCTGGCGGTAGCCGATGCCGGGCGCCGGTGACGACGAATTTCCCTGGCTCTGGAATTCCCAGTGCTTTTAGGCTATGCATGACATGTCCATTGAAGATAGAGACCCCAACGGCGATAGCGAGAGCGCTTCCCAACGCGCGAAACTGATGAGAGATTCCGAGTCCAACGGCTTTATATCAAGTCAGTATATCACATAGAATCCACGCAGTCTTGAGTTCTAAAGAGTTGTGAAAGACTCACCATGATCGCGTTTTTCTGCAGCGAATGGAACCGCGGCGAATAATGATAGATAGCTTATGCCACAACCGACTCCCGCAATAATTTCATATCCGTACAGCTTGGGCGGTATATTGGCTGAAGCATCCATAGTCCCAAGCAGAGCATAACCTACAACTTGTAACAAAGCCCCAGCAATGATAATATACACTAGTGGCGTCTTGAATTTAGTATATGCCCTTGCAATCAACATCCCGCCAACGGTACTAGCTCCGCCGAATGGAAGAAGACGTGCGCCTGCATTGACAGCGTCGAGATTGTTGACAAGCTGGAAACGCTGCGGCAGCTGGAATGAGGTAACGCCGAGTGATCCGCCCACTAGGAAGAGCCCTCTGAAACCATTATATTGTCAGTACCTTGCGTCTGCGGAATAGCAGCAAACACACAATTGCAACTCACAGCAAAGCACCAAGCATCTCACGACGCACAATAAATCGCCAGGGCAGAACAGGTTCCCGAGAGCCATCCTGCAAGGATACACGGCGCTCCCATAGTAGAAGCAAACCCAATATAACAAGTGAAACGATGACCAAGACAATAAAATAAGCAGAGTCCCACGAGAATTGACTATTGACCTCTTGAAAAGCAGACGCGAAGGCCAGGGTCGACAATAGCAGCATGGTACACCCCAGTAAGTCGATTTTGGAGCAAATTTCGGAAGTGCTAGCTCTTCGCCGCTTTTCAGCTGCTTCGTGATGAGGATATCCGTTCGGGATACCAATCATCGCCATGGCCACGGCACATAATCCAATGGGCACGTTGAACAGAAAGATCCACCGCCAAGTTGTGTGTTGGCAAATGCCACCGCCAATGATGGGCCCCAAGACGGTGGCAAGAACGAACGAAATGCTTGAATAAGATGCCATATTTGTAATTTCCTTTGCTGGGACAATCTGGATGAGCAAAATGCTGCCTAGGGCGTAGCTGCCGCCCCCGCCGATTCCCTGAAAGGCGCGAAAGATGATGCTGGAGACGCAGAGGAAGAGAGTAAGCACATATCATGGAGATGCGCGTGACAAAGAAGATGGCGACAATTTGCAGTTGGTCTATTGTATTGGCAGCCGCGCATCCGCCCGAGAAGGCGGTGAAGAAGAAGATGCAGGACACGAACACCGACTTGCGACCGAGGATATCACTGAGTTTCGAATTAATGACGACGAAGCCTAGGTGGATCAAACTTTGTTAACCTCTTCCCTGAGGCCAGGCTGGGCAGGATGAGGGACGGAACGTGAGACTTACTAACGAAGCCCAGCAGATAGGCTGACATGATCCAACCTGCCCTTTGAAAGCCACCTATATCCTGAGTAATGTCGACAAGAGATGTGGTCACAATGCTAATCTCTACTTGAACAACAAAGTATACGATAGAGATCAGAATGGCCACGATCCAGAGCCGCCAGCCATGGAGATGGCCGCTGGTATCTTCCTCCTCATCGCCCAAAAGTTGGCTGTTTGATTCAAGTTTTCCGTCGTGCTGTTCATCTTTCACCACACCAGGCAAACCTGCAGGGTCGGAAGCCAACACCGACTCAGCTTCGTGGCCCATTGCGCGATTCGGGTGTGTATAATGCCAGAGGATTTGGCGCTTAGAATGCAAACATTTGAAGGGGCGGCCGGGAGACCGCCGCTGATGCGGTTACGGAGAAAAGGTCATGAAAGCGTATGGCCGTACGAAGTAACCGAAAAATATAAAAAGAGAAGGGCAAAGCAAACGCAAGTCTGGGAGTGTTGGAACAGGTGAGTAGTCACGTGTGGATGAGTATTACCTACCTAGGGAGGTAGGTAACTATTCATTGAACATGTACTCCGTACTACGCAGTACCAGACCAGACAGTTCTCTACAGGACCCTGTGGGTGTTGACACAATGAGCACATGCGGCAATTGGCTGTGGGAAGAGAAAACGCCGAGTGTCGATGCGCTCACCATGTAAGGTGAGCTCGGGTGTGTTGGTTGTTCTGCACTGGGGTTACTAAGCCGAGACATTAGCCAGCTAACGCAGTAAGCATTGTTATAAAAATACCTCGTGTGCATCATGCATAAATAACTGTCATAAAAGAATCACACGACAGGTCACCCCAACCCATCCGATGTCGCCGCTGCCTAGTTGCTTTCAAGTTACCGAAAAAAACCGGAGAAGAAAAAAAGGCAGCCGATGCTTACTCCGTACGTACTCTGTACAGCATATGGAGTATGAACACGAAAACGGATGAGGGAAAGGGGAGGAAAAGGGGGGTGTGATGGGCAGTAGGAATTTTGTGACATGTCAAGCCTGGTAGCTGCAGGGCCGACCAACCGGCTTTACTGTTCTCAGCTCGCTTGGGGCACTTCCTACGATTCGTCAAACAAGTCTGCCTTCGAAGACTGAGTCTCTATTTCGTGCCACGCAGTGAATCAGGCTGCTTGTTGATATGGCGAGCGCACCCGAGGCAGCCTTCCTTTGCTGGATGAGGCTCCTCTCCCGGCATGCCCCAACAGAAGAGTCTAAACAGGCAGGCGTACTCCGTATTTACACAAGATATGCACTGTAAAGTCGTGGGGTTGCCAAAGGCACACCTCGGCGGTATTGGGTAGGATTTAAGCCTGGCACGATCAAGCCCGGCCTGTCTTGGTGAACTGCCATAGGAGGAAATCCTTCATCACGCCGCCAACCACCGTGTACTGTCATAAACGATGGAATTGGATACATCGAAAAACAATGCCCGTGCTGGGGCTGTGTCGTGTCATGTAACGACAATTCGATGGTCCTTGCGCATGTGTTGGATGCCTCAGCATAATACTCCGTACACATCCAACACCTCGCAAACGCCGCCTCCCTCGCAGTAAGAGTAGGACTGGCGCCATGGTTCGCGCCGCCTCGTCTTGTCTTGGGAGACAACGGCGTGGTGCAAAGAAGTAATGTGTACGGAGTATACTCCATAACCCTCAGACAAAATGTTTCGGCTGGATTGTCCGGGTGCAGTCCTTCCCTGCCCTGGTCGCCGTTTGTTATTGGTTGAGCGAAATGTGCTCCTAGATGCCAAACGCGACTCGGTGATAGTATGACATTTCATAACAACTATACTGCGTATATCAAGCTGGAATAGCTCTTAAGTAAGCACACAAATGCGGCAATCCCGCTTATTCAACTGCCCAAGTCAACTTTCTTGATGCTGGTACTTAGTCACCCTTGGCCTAGATACTCGGTACATGACCACCAACGCGAAAGGAGAGTCACTCATTACTCGGAAAAAACTCGTCCAGCTACTTGGGAAGGCGGTCGTGCTTTCGGAAAGTCAAATACGGTCCGTTGTGAACAGCTGTGAACCAATCTTCTATCTTGTGCTCTGGGACGAAGCCCTGGCCATCTGGCTTTGTGTGCAAAATCTCTCCGACTCGCCCTAGCTTTCCAGGTGCCTTTTCAAAGTCAAAGCACCACAATGTGCGCGCAATAGTCATCGTAATCTCTATCCATGCCATGGCTTTACCAGGACACGCCCGATCACCGGCGGCAAAGGGGATATGCGCCATACGCATCGTTCGTCGCGCCGCCTTCAGGTCGTCGTTCTTAGCGCCATTTGCTGGCTCAAGCCATCGCTCAGGCCGGTAGACAAAAGGATCCGGAAATATCCTGTCGTTGTGGAAGAGGGCGTAAAGACTGGCGCCAACCTGAGTGCCTCGGGGGATAACGTGTCCGTCAACTATGAAAGGTTTGCCGCTCGTATCGGCTGGATCTAGTTGACGCCAGAGAATTGATAGTACTGGCGGGGAACAGCGAAGGCTTTCTTCGATACAGGCTCGGAGATATTTGCATCCTGTCAGTTTGGGCCCCTGCTGAATCTCATCGGCTAAGGAGAAGGTGGTTCGGACCTCGCGAGCGACGCGAGCATAAGACTCGGGATACCTGGAGAGATAAAAGAATGTACTGGCTATGGTTGCAGCAGTTGTCAAGCCACCTATGTAATTATACAGGTTAGTATATCACTTTTTCAGACGGCTTTCAGTGAGATCAGCCTACCGGCTGCCAGGAAATTAGTTCCATGGGGCCACATTTCGCTGCTGAGGAATGATGAATCCAGCTTGATCTCATCGATGACAATGGAATAAAAGTCGTGGTATGCGTGCCTATCCATCGCCTCTCGCGCTCGTACCATATTCTTGATAGCCACCATCAGCTTCATTGTCTCCTTGTACTTTACCGCCATCATAATCAAGTTGTAGATTCGCCAGGGGGTGAACTGCATCATCATGTTCACGCGCCAGCTCCATTTCTTAAGAGTCATTGGGAAAAAGCGATTAGCTTCTTCTGTTTGCGTGTTCAACGGCTGGCCAAATGCAAGATCTGCAGCAATATCAGTGGCAAGATATGTAGACACGTCTGATAAATTAACCGGTGTTGAACTCTCAGACGCGCTGACTAGGACTTGCAGGAACTCATTGACGCGCTTTATTATTTTCGGCTCGAAGATGCGCATGGATCGTTCGTTTAGCACAGCCCCAATGACCTTGCTCTTTTTCTTATGCTCCTCCTTGTTTGTAGTCATTAATAGAGTGCGGTGCTTGGAGATGAACATTCCATGGTTATAAGGCTCGCCTTTAGCCACGCGCGGGTTCAAGTATATATCTAGGGCATGATATTAGCGCATGACACCTTGTGGTGAAGGAACTGCTACCTTGAACCGCCGCCGCTGAGTTGAAGATGAGCTTATTCGGACCAAGGCGGAAAACGTCGCCTGCAGCAGAGAGCTTTTGGTGAGAAGTAACCTCGCGTATCGACAAAATGACGATGCGTACCATATTTGCGCATATGCTGATACGTGACCAAATGAAGCGACTTCTTGTACGCAAAGTAGCCACTATAGGCATCCGTAATTTTTGCTAGAAACGGGCCACGATAGCGTCTCAAGGGGTGAAAAGCCAGCGAATAGCTAATCCACAGAATAAGCTGCATGAGTGAGCCAGGGTCATGACATGGAAGTTGCGAGGCAGACGTACTATAGGGCAAACGAAATACAGTAGATCCAGCGCACCTAGAGGTGCCTCATGAAGAAGAGACATGGTATGTAGAAAAACTCGCGACTTACTCAATGGTCGATTCTTCGTCTGAGGCTAACCTCAAGTGACTCGAAGAAGAAGACGGTGTGCTACACCTTGAAGGGATTGATAGACGCCTCGGCAAAATCTCCAGACGCCCTTGGCTGTACCGGGACTGGCGGGCACCCTCACTACATGTGGTGCTCGTAACGGTGAATCTACCTGTCTTGCTTACACTTACATTCGGTTGGCTTAATTTGCGTCATCTACGTGTTCATAATCATAGTAGTGAGCTGTTCAAATAGCTGGGTTACTAGCAGAGTGACTAGGGAGATATAGCAGAGAGTCTCGTTACAACTAAACTATTAAGTAAAGGGATTATTATATTTAAACTATTTTGTTAATTTTTTACATATAATTTTATTAAGCTAACATATAGTGATACTATTTACTAACTACCCTCTATTTGAGCCGTTTTATTTTTGATTTGTCGTTAATAAAGTTACTATATTTTATTAAGTTTATCTTTTATACGTTATTATATTTTTCTAATTAAAATATAATTAACGTATAAGTTAAATATTATATAATACACTCAATTAATTCTAAATAGCTCGTGCGTTAATTCCCTATTATTAGTCCCTAATATAAGTAATTAGTTCTCTTTGTCTAGTTTAGTACTAATATTAGATTTTATAAGGCCCTCTTTGGGATGCTACGTTCTACGAGAGGAGCCATTCAAACTTCAACCGATACGTCTTTACAGGTATAACTTTGGTGGCCCGAGCGGCCACATCATTTTCTGTATGCAGAGGTCAACTACCCCAACCTCTCGGATACTGACGCATTTACTTTGAGGATTTATACTGGTACTGTTGAAACCGTGTTTTCCTGGACTGATACTGATAACATTGGGTAGAGCACTGCCTCGATTAGCTTCGACACTATATTCAGTGCAACATCGATACTACACTAATACCCATTCAACGGGCAGTGGAGTAGGGACTCGAATCCCACACATCTCGAGTGATGTTGATCTGCAACTAACAAGCATTGGCAGTTCTCCAGTGCCAGTAGCCACAGATGATGGTAAGCACAGGTGTGTGGCTTGGGAACTCATCTTCGAATGGATGGCCCGCCACTCTTTCAACGCTTCTCAGCCTGGCTTGCTTATCCACCCTATTTTTGGTAAGGCTTGACTTATTAGGCGCCAGAATTGGACTTGAAGACCAGTTGCTAAGTTTATCTGTCACTACTAGGTGACTCGTACCACAACAGCTCACAAGGACATAGACATGCCCTGGGGATCACGCCTTTGGGCGAAGGAGGTGTTTTGCTCCATGATTCCGGGGATGAAGGGCATTAGAGATTGCTTATTCCTGGCAAATTATGCAGAAGTTTAAATAATTTAACGAGGTGCTCTTTACTCCGCAAAGCGGCAAGATTTGGTGTGCTTATGCGCGTGACTGTGGGCAGAGCACCATGTTTTCTGCCAACATTGAAGCCCTAAATACATCGCTGTAGCAGAGACGTGCGTGTTAGTAACCGAGGGCCTCCATGTCGGCTTGAGTTGCATTGACTTGATTGTTTGGCAAATGTCAAACTTAGCCAGCATGGCGCTGCAGAGGCGGCTGGAACGCCAAACCCCCTGCTCTTCAATATGCAATAAATAATACTGTCTAAATCTCTTTTGAGTCCTGAGACTCATTGCTGACCAACTGCAGATCAAAAGTACCTCACTCCAAACCAATGGCATCAACGGGCGCGCTGGCACGCCAAGACAACAGGAGTGCCATATATCACTTTTTCGACAACGGTAACGACCACTTGAATACTTTTTTTTAGAGCGGTCGAGAACTTATACGGATTTCACGAAACACCCACCTACCTCCTTGCTCCTCGATAATTCCTTCATCAAACTCTAGAGGCTGAGGAGTCTGGGCCATAAAGATGCCGCCTGGGCTATGCGATCAGACCCCGATCTCCGTACGGAGCACTCCCCCCCATTTGTTACGCGAGTGCGGCTGGCTCAAGGCTGGATAACGGCTGTGTGAGTGGCAGTGCGTGAGCTCACAACGTATGCAATCCAACTGCTCAAAGACTTGACATCCGGATACATGGGTCTCGATGTCGGTTCAATATTTGACGGGGCGGAAAGACGCGTGAGCAGTCCATTTTCGGCAAAGCCGCAAAAACATCTGAAATAGGCAGGCGCCATCATCCTCCTTGCTAAGCAGGCAGGTACCTACCAACTTACCAAGGTAGATTACTTCGATCAGCCTCAAGTCTCCAGAGTCGCTGGGACTCAGTCACGCCACTTCCCACTCACGGGCAGACAAGCGTTTCTTGATTTTCATCCAAGGTTGGCTCTGAACATTCATACTGCTACTTTGCCCGTTATTCTCGTCAACATACCCAGCTGCACTTCATATGATGTCTCAGTCACCGTAAGAAGGCGATAAAATGGACGACACAGCTGGCTGTTCAGTGGGCGCCGACAATGTCCTTGGCCCTCGCATCCACGAATCGTGCCGGGCATTTGACTTTACCTTGCTCTTCGAAGATGGCATCTTCATCACTCTTCCCGCCATCGCTTTTCCTCCTGCTCCTACCTGGACGGCTTTATTTACCGATTCGCAAGTCCAGGAAGTTAACATCATTGAAGCTGGCATCTTGCAAGCCGGTATACCTCAAGCCCTCGTCAGATTTATTCCATGCATCACTAATCAGTTGGAATTAGGCTCTCCTCTCACTGCTATTCTTGCTTCATCTCGCTTACCTCGTATTTCTTGCGCAAAGTTCTGTTTTGCAGACGAGTTTGAGTCTCACCTCAGGTTTGCTCGCTGTGATAGCAGCATTGAGTGCTGGTCTTTTATCTATTCTCGAAGACCAGCGGTCCATTTGCCCTTCAAGTCTACTTGTCGTTTATCTCTCTGGTTCGGCGCTGTTGGCATTGCCACGACTACGAACTTTGTGGCCCATTTCCTCGGTAACGGCACCACGGGCACTGTGGACGGCAGTCTTTATTTCGACCGTTGTGTGTGCTATTATTGAGTCAACTCACAAGACGAGACTTCTGCGCTTACCTTTCAAGCAGGCGACAAGGGAGCAGAAGTCGGGCTTCTGGGGCCGGGGCCTCTTCATTTGGGTCCTTCCATTCTTTTCTGCGGGCTACAAAAGCACGCTCTAGCTCGGCGATATACTGAAACCAGATGTTGCACTGGAAGCAAGAGAAACGTTTGATAGGATTGAAAATTGTTGGAGCGGGACTTCCGGCCGCCACAGACTTCTTCGAGCAACAATTTCCGCATACCTTTGGCCCTTCCTCTCCGCCATTCCCCCGCGACTCGCGCTTGCATGTTTTTCCTTTTGCCAGCCATTCCTCATAGAAGCCTCCTTGTCAAATCTCCAGCATGGGGCGGAGAGAGACCGCTCCCGTTATGGTCAAGCCCTCATACTTGTCTATACTGGTATTGGGGTGAGCGACTCATACTTGTCCAAAGGGATGCCAATTTTGTTTTTTTCCTAACAACTTTGACAGATTTCCCGAGCGTGGTACCAGCGAAAAACATACCGAATGCTAGCTAGAATTCGGTCTGGTCTTATAGTCAAGATCTATCGAGTTACCACTGTTCTTCGACAGGCGGAAGTCAAAGATTCGGCCGCGATTACTCTCATGGGCACCAACGCGGAGAGGATCATATCTTCTTTCGGACAGATTCACGAAGTCTGGGCATCTGTTCCAGAGATTGGCGTCGCAATTTTGCTCTTGGCTCGACAAATGTCTTTTGCATCCGTCCTTCCCTTGATCATATGCCTTGGTGAGCCTCGCACGGCCTTATTCTGTAAAAAAACTAAACAGTTATTAACAGCTTCGGCTAGCTTCTGTTGTGGGCGCTTGTCGCATTGCTCGCCATTTTAGGCCTGCTCAATTGGCATGGGTCCGGCAGGTCCAGGCTCGGGTCGCCGTAACCGCCAAGATGATCGGCGACATGAAAGCTGTCAAGATGCTCGGCTTAACCGATACCTTGTGTAAACTTGTTGGGAAGCTCCGTAAGGCTGAGCTTGAGGCATCTGAAAGATTTCGCAAACTGCTCATCTGGCAGATTCTCATTGGTACGTAAGTCCCTTTGAAAGACTATGAAAAACCTTACTCCTTACTCAATGCTGATACCAGGAACGCCCCGGTGGTCCTGGGACCTTTTGCTACATTTGTAACATACGCCGTCATTGCCAAAGCCAGGGGTGATGAGACGCTATTGACTGCCCAGGCATTTTCCTCTCTCTCTCTAATCTCGCTGACAACAACTCCTTTGATCCGCTTTTGCGAAGCCCTGCCGACTTGCATGCAAGCTCTTTATTGCTTGAAGAAGCAGGAAGAATCCAGCGACACTAGTGGTGCGTCCTCTATCGGAATGTTGGTCCGAGACGAACAGGAAATGAGCTATTTTCTATCTATAACAAGTCCTACTGAGGCGGTGTTTTTTCTTTCAGAAATACTGACATTGCCTGGTCCCTTGATGGTTCCAAAGCCGTGCTACACGACCTAAGTTTCGATATCGCTGTTGGTTTCACGGCAATTATTGGACCTGTAGCCTCAGGCAAGTCGACCGTACTGGCATCGTTAATTGGAGAAACAGTCACTAGAAATGGTTGGTCCACTTCCAGTCTATCAGGGGTCGCGTTTTGCTCCCAAGTTCCTTGGATTTTTGACGACACAATTGGGCAAAACATAACCGGGGACCTAGATTTTGACCAGGAGTGGTACGACTTCACGATCAACTCCTGCTGCCTTCAGCAAGACCTCAAGAGCCTGCCTAGCGGGGATTAGAGTCTCTGTGGTAGCGGCGGAGTTTTATTGAGTGGTGGGTAACGGCAACGAACGGTTTGTATTTATCTAGTCTTTTTATTATTCTTCTGATATTGCAAAAACTGACGTCCAATTTGCGCCAACTTGAAGGCTCTGGCGCGAGCTATGTATTCTAGGCATTCGATCCTGATTTAGATGATATTTTTAGCGGATTAGATTCCAGGACAACAACAACTCTGCTAGATTGTTTGTTTGGAGAGAATGGCCATTTCCGACGAGCTGGCATCTCGGTAATTATTGCCACTCATAATCGTACGAAGCTTCTGGCCACGAGGGCAACCGCGCGCAGCGACCCAAAGTTGACCCTGCGGCTACTGTTCTTTGGCGTGTCCGTTCTACCCGCCGGGCTTTATGTGGACTCACCGATGGCCTCGCCAATAACCTTGGCCACCTGGGTAGACGTCGCGATACCGTGGAGGCGGACGGCCTCCGCGTACTCGGCACACTGGTCAAGCTCCACGCTATATATGGTCATAGGCGGCAGGTCAACGGCCGGGAACGATTTAGACCCGTCAGGCAGCACGAGCATACTTCGGGAATCCCTGGTTATGCAAAAGTACCGGTAGAGGGACCTCATATAATTTATAGTATTATAGGGTAATAATAATTCTTACTATTCACTGTAATAGTAAGGTTAATACTCCCATATAATGTTTAAACCTAGCCCGTTTTATTAGGTTTCGTTTCCTAGGAATTATCTTCATGTTAACCATTAATACACGTGATCTTACACTAATAGTTATCACGTGAGTGATATAGGGCTATCTCTTTCTTTTATGCCTAAGGTTACACGACTATTACTTAACATCTCTCTCTTTTAACTCTCCTCTCTCTTAACTCTCTCTTTTATAAACTTTTTTCTACTCCTTAACTTATCCCCTTTCTCACTATTATAACCTTCCCTATTCTTGTTACCCTTTTCACTTTAACGCTTAATCTATCACGCGTGCTTCTTAGTGAGCCTAGTATCCCTCTTTAAGGTCTTCTCCTACTTCTATAACTCTTTATTCTTCTCCTTTTACTTGGTAGTAATCTATTTATTAATGAAAGCCTTACGCTCTTAGTTACTCTTATAAAGGATCTTTATTATCTCCTTTAAGGCTAGGTTATTATTAATATAACCAGTTAATTTCTTAATTGCCTCCTATAGTTCTAAGGTAAAGTCTACGTATACCTCTAGGGGGTCTATAAGGACTAGGTTAACCATTTTTTACCTGCTTCTCGTCTTAGCTATTCTTAATAGGGCAATAGAGACTTTAATAACGTGTGTATTTTAAAAGTTTTAAGAGTTAACGTCTTTCTTATTAATCTTCTTAATAACTTTAATAAACACGCCTAGCCTTAAAGTAAGCTTAATAGTAGTATTAATATATAAACTAAACTCCTTTAATTCATGTCCCTAAGAATAGACTACGCTAGACGGTTAAAAGATAACCTGAGATACATGCGCTAGAGCTCACAGATAACCACCTCTCTTATAGCATATTATTTATTTAGCGGCTTAGGTTTACCTCAGCTGAGAGCTGGATGGCATGTTTTTCTAGCATGACACGCTCTTGGTAATCGTGGAACGAGTTCCTAACCTTGATGAAGTGCCATGTAACGGCCTTGCTCATTGCAGTTGAACCTCTCCAGCGCTAACTCGGAAAATGCAGAACATGTTCTTCCATTCGTGGATAGCATCGTCGCGCTCTATTAGGGCCGTATCATACACTACGGTTCGTATGAAAAACTCCAGCTTTATTCATCTGACATCTCGGGAAAGGCCGCGGAAAGCGGAGAAAAGGATTGTGGGCCTGGCAGTAAAGAGGTACTCTGTGAGACGTCGTTGAAGCCCGAATTGTCCGAACACATAGAGGAAAGGCCTATCTCCATCTCTGAGCAGGGCAATAAGACCAGGCAAGACGGCAGCTGGTCCGTGTATGCGTTTTACGCCCGGAGCGCTGGAGTATTATCCTTGTTATCATGGAGCGTTTGTACCCTTCTAGGTGCAGTCAGTGCCAGATATACAAGTGAGCATTTTCCTGAAATTACCATTGGCTTCGCCACCGACAGGAAGATCCCTTGATGCTAACTTTACTTAATAGCAATATGGATTCAGAAGTGGACAGGGGCCAACGAGACAAGTCCAAACCAGCAGACGGGCCTTTACTTGGGCGTCTATTCCATTCTTGTTTTCATATCGATAGTCGAAACTACAGGAGAGTGCTGGTGAGTAGCTCGTCTTAGTTGAAAGAGACATGGAATTTTTTGCAACTAAGTTAAAATGCAAAAATTCAGGGCGTTCTTTGTCAGCATCATCAACGATACCGCAATGAAGCTACATGAACACCTTCTAAAGTCAACTTTAAGGCATGTAGTAAGCCCGGGAGCTGTCTAACTTGTGCATGCTGATTCCGGACGTGCAGAGCTCCGTTTGAGTTCTTTCAAAAGACCGATGTTGGTTCGATTACAAATAGGTATAAATATTCACCCCTGATTCGACAACATGAGAACTGACATTCAACGCTAGATTCAGCCAAGACATGGACCTAATAGACATGTCACTTCCAACACATGCCATCCAATTTACCACTGGTAGGTAGGCGCTCTGGAATCTGGCTCGTGACTTCACAGCGCAGCCCAGAACAAGTATTTTGCCTAATAACACTATCTGCCAGGGACGGCTTCATGCATTGTGCAACTCGTCGTTATTTGCATCGTTGGCAAATACTTCGCTGCTGCTCTGCTACTTTTAGCAGGTAGCCTTTTTATTGTGCCAAAGTTTTATCTGCGTACCTCCCGGCAAGTCCGCCTGATCGATATTGAGGCAAAAGCCCCCATTTACAAGCTCTTCATTGAAACCAAACAAGGAGTCTCGACGATTCGTGCTTTCGGTTGGACTTCTGCCTTTCACCGCAAACTCTCAGATGCATTGAACCAATCACAAAGACCGTTCTATATGCTGTTCTGTATTCAACAATGGCTCGCGTTCAACAATACGTGATAGATGTGCCTTCGGAACTTAACGGCACTGAACCATTAAAACCCAGTTGGCCATCTTCCGGGGCGGTTATCTTCCAGAGCGTGAAAGCCAGTTATGGGTAAGAACGCACTTTCACGTAAAGGGGAAAACATTGACTAATTCAAGCATAGGTGTCAGTCCCGGCCCACAATTCGCAACATCAAATTTGACCATTGCTCCTGGTGAAAAAGCTATAATTTGTGGGCAATCAGGCAGCGGCAAGTCATCGCTCATCATTACAACCCTCCTCTTGATGGAGATTCAGGGGGGCAGATCAAAATTGTTGATGTAGACATTACTTCCATCGGAGGATTGGCGCTTCGCCCTCTTCTCAATGTTGTTCCCCAAGAGCCTTTCTTCATTCCAGGTTCCTTGAGGCTCAATATCGATCCGAGGAACTTGTGTTCAGACGACGACATTATAAGTGTACTTGATAGAGTTGGCTTGTGGAGCAGGATTGAATCTGGTATAGGGCTATTACGGCGACCTGGACGAGTCAGAGTTTCCCCACGGGGAGAAACAGCTATTATGTCTTGCCAGGGCAATGTTGGTCTCAAGTCCGGTTCTGATATTAGACGAGGCAATGAGCAGGTAAGTTCCCAGTGCTTCTTCTCAGGCACCTGGGATATGTACACTGTGCCTCTAACATTGTCAATAATGTTGATGAGAAGACGGAAGCCATCATGCGAGGAATAATTGATTCCCATTTCAAATGCCGGACAGTCATTTCCATATTGCACCGTTTCAATCATGTTGACTGCTATGATCGCGTAGTAGTCATGCATAACGGAGAGGTTGTTGAGGTTGGAGCACCAAGGAAATTGCTAGCATTAAATACTGCTTTTTCGAAGCTGTATCGAACGCAACGTTATAGATAGTCACTTGGCTTTCATGGTGAAGTTGAGTTCCAACAAGTGAGCAAGGGCATTACTTCAGTTGAGCTGTTCATGGCTGCACGGAAACATACACCTTGATAAATAACCGTCTACTTGTTGATATTCACGGAAAACAAGGCTCAAATCGAACCAACTTCCCCTGAGCTAAGTTTCTTCCGCCCTGCATTTACGTGAATCGAACGCTCTCCGTCCCGTAATCGACTCGGTATACAGCAACGAGCTCCTCCCGTCTCGTCGTAAGTTCTGAGACCTCGCGTTAGGAAAATTCCTAGTCGGCGCTGTACTTTAGCACGAGGCCCAACGCTGTGGGATCGGTTAGTCACAATGTGAAGTATATTGGTATTAAACTGACAATGGGGAAATAAATACATCACACAAAATCGTTGTGCTACGGGAAAGTCCTACGCTACACGAGCGGATGCTACCTACTGTAAAGAGCAAGTGGGTTGGGGTCGGCTATTGAAGATCTGAAGGTATGAGTATGGAGGAGGAGTTGGATGGAGGGCAGACGAGTCGTGGGGACCGAACAAGCTTCGGTACTAGCTGCGCGTGGTGTGTTTTGCATATGCGTGCGGGCCACATTGTACGGTTACGGAGTGAGTACTCCGTACTGTCCGTACTGTCCGTGTTGTCGGGGGTGTGGATGTGGATTTGCTACTCCGTAGAGACGCCCATGCGTCTGAAGTCGCGGCTGGTGGATTCGCCTTGTACCACACAAGAATTACACCACTAGGCCAAAAGTGAAGCTCCACTAATGAGGGTGGATTATCTTGGATATAGTACGTGCGACAAAATATAAGGGGTGGACGTGGAGAAGAATCTGATCTATGAGTCCAGGACGGTACATGCAAGGCTGGCAAGCGCAAGGGTGAGTCTGTGGACTAAAGTTCTTCCGAGACGCCGGCTCACAAACAGCCGCATCTGTGGTAGACGGCTGACACCAACAGCAATGCATCTTTAACCACATGTGCCTATTAGGGTTAAATGCTCTTTTTCCCTCCTGCTTGAAGCATGCACCGCTGCAATATCCTAGCATTTGAGTCTGGTGGTATCCTGAATGTGGGTCGCAGACTAAATTCAGGGACTTGGCCTTGACGACAGGGGTCAACTCCCTGGACATGCTGGACCAAAACCTTGGCCCCTCGCGACTTCACAGCAAAATTATCCACCGTGTCTTCGACATCACGCAAAATCGTCACTCATTCACGATTGGCAACCTGGCATTGGCGCCCGTCTCCGCCAACATGGCTTCGTCGCTCAAGCACAAATCCAGCCATAATGCCAACGATGCCCCCTCGCCTTCCTCGTCTCAACCGACCAAACCATCCATGGTCCAAGGTGCATCCCTCCTCATCCTTTTGCAGCTGATATCCCGCCTCATCACGTTTGTCGCCAACCAGCTCCTGCTGCGCTTCCTGACGCCGCGGCTCGTGGGCCTGTCTAGCCAACTTGAGGTGTATTACTTGTCGGTTTTATTTTTTGCGCGAGAGAGCCTGCGCGTCGCAATCCAACGCCAGGGTAGCAGCACCGCGCAATCAGCTGAAAGCGAGAAGGGAGATGAGCAGCTGCTAGTAACACGTCGCGACAGTCAGGCGGTTGTCAATCTGGGCTATTTAGCCATTGTACTCGGACTCTTCGTCAGCACCGGTCTCGGATGGATTTACCTCGCCTGCGCCAACGAATCAATCCTACAAACGCCATACCTCGTCCACTCACTTTATCTGTATGGTTTGGCCGCCATGGTCGAGCTGCTCTCCGAGCCATGCTTCGTCCTCATGCAGAGGCGCTTGCAGTTTGGCACGCGCGCCACGGCCGAGTCAGCTGCTACTTTCCTGCGATGTCTGGCTGTGTTTGCATCTACCGTGTTGGCGTCACGGAAGCGGTTGGATATTGGGGTCCTTCCCTTTGCCCTTGGTCAACTCACATACGGTGTGTCATTATTGCTGGTCTACTTTGCCTCCGGCTACGGCCTCGCAACCTCCATTGGCTTTTCGCTGCTGCCGAAAGCTATTGCAGCCGACAGCAGGGCCAGCGCAAAATACGTATGGTCCTATTTTTACCAACCAACCGTCACCCTTGCTAGCAGGATGATGATCCAAAGCCTCGTCAAGCACCTCCTCACACAGGGCGATACCTTCCTCATATCTATACTCTCCACGCCAGAAATGCAGGGTGTGTATGCCATGGCCAACAACTACGGCGGATTATTGGCCCGAATGCTCTTTCAGCCTTTAGAGGAAAGTAGTCGAAGCTACTTCTCGCGACTGCTGGCCGCCACATCTACAACCGAGAAGGACGCAAAGGATGCTGAACCATCGGCAGCGGTTCAAGAAGCCAAGAAGAACCTGCAGACTCTTCTTAGGCTGTACACAATTTTATCGGCAATAGCGGTAGGTCTTGGTCCTTTTGCTGCCCCGCCACTGCTGTCCATTGTTGCAGGGGAACGATGGACAGACGATGGCGCTGGGGATGTCTTGGGTGTCTACTGCTTCTACATTCCCTTTTTGGCTCTCAATGGCATCACCGAATCTTTCATTGCATCTGTTGCGTCCGAAAAAGAGGTTCAGCGGCAATCGATGTGGATGGGAGTATTTTCCGTGGCCTTTGCCGCCGCCGCCTTCGTCTTCATGCGTGTTTTCCCACTGGGTGCGCAGGGCCTTGTACTCGCCAATATTGTCAACATGTTGTGTCGCGTCATTTGGAGCTGTGCCTTCATTAAGGCCTATTTTCGCCGCAACGGGTCAGACATGTCTATTAGGAGCATAGTACCAGGCAGTATAGTTGCAGTGTCACTGTCAACGCTGGTTTTCATGCAGTGGCTCCATTCGCCAGATGAGCCGAAAACTAATCCAGCCAAAATACTTGCAAAAGTGGCGGGTTCAGCCGTGCCATTTCTCCTTACAATGTGTGTACACGCGCAATCACTCCCATTGTTTTGGGTTACCCAGATCTGACCAGATATACAGAATACTCCTCGAAAGACGTTTTCTGTTGGAATGCTTTCACTCTATACGGGATCGGAAATCCGCTAAATAGCAATAATGCCATAGCAAGATACCTCACTGAGTTCATGAGCCATACATAGAATTCTCCATGGTCTTAAATCAGCAACGCCGGAAGTGACCTACGTGACATGGCGGACGCACACCCAGCCCAACCACCCACGAATACGAATTTGTCCGAAATAGCCTCAGCACAGTCAATCACTGGATATCAACTACCGTTGGACGGCCTTCTAGTTCTTCTACCTCAGAAATTCCATGCTATGTATCGTAAGGCTTGCCAGCTGGACTACAATCATGGAAGAACCTCAGTTAGTACAGGTTGTTATTTCTCTTTATTACACCGTGAATGCGCTCTCTGTATTGGCCATCTTTCCTTCAATGCTGTTATCTGAATGCTCCCGGCGCGACTTTCCTGAACTTCTTGCTGTCTCCGACGCCAAGCTGCCTCCGAGTTGACATACTTGTCTCTTTGCCAAGGCCACCTTTTCTCCTCAACTTATACATCAACTGAGCTCTTCATCAATAACTAGCAGGTATCTGGAACGTCGTAGTTCCATATCTCCAGTTTGCAATGAAGTCCTTTGATCCCAACGCTTGCACAGCTCTCTTGAAAAAGCGGTCAACGGCATATATAGCGGCGTCGGCGAGCTTCAAGGCTTAATTATGCTTTCAGATCACAAGTCCATAAGGTCTCCTTGAACTAGTTGGAGTCCTTGGGAAGGGCCAGGGCACTTTGTTTTTCAAGCCAAAGATAGTCATCCGCACATTCTCTATTCATCGACTCGCACGTTACACCGACATCTGAGGTGACAGAAAGATGAGTCACCGGCTAACTGTAACATTCGGTTGCGGGCTATGCTCATCATCCCAACAGCAATTATAGTTGGCTGTTAAGGATCCGCCCCAATGGTCAGACTACGGTGGACCCATGAGTTTATCGGCCTTGAGCCGTGTACATAAAAGGCCGTGGTTGAGCCACCAAGTGCTTGAACCTGTATGATGATTTCCATCATTGTATCGGGAGATCTCCCATTCAGTCACTCAATCAGTCATGCCGACCTCAGCTGCCTCAACCGAAATCCTATCCATCCTGAGGCATGTTACGGCCAACAAACAGAACAAGGCTGCCGCACGACTGGCCACGATTGACAGTCATGTGCGCGATGCAGAATCTGCTATTTCGTCCCAGTCTGGCGTAACCGACGGCAGGAGCCTTGAGTTTGATGTGCTCATGCTACTGACTACGCTACGCAAGGCATGGCATTTGCCGGATCTCTCCATGTACAAGTTAACGGTCGGGGAGCAGTTGGCGGCACAAGTACTACGGCAGACCGCGGAACAAGAAGCGGTGGAGAGGACGGAACAACGAGGTGGGAAGATCGATTGAATGCCTTTGAGCGCATGTTATGGGAAGCCAAGTATTCCTCAGGATTCTCCAACTCGGCGGTGCTGGCGTGGCGCAACGAGCTGCGGAGCTATCTTTACCAAGGCCATGGAATATACAACGCTCTTCGGCCACTTAACCGACGAATGGACCGAATTTCGGTTCGGTGATTTGTCCAAGGCAAAGATGAGTTACTGTCACAACGTACCCAAGTCGCCCACTGTCTCAGACACGTTTCACAAAACAGGGAATTTCTTAGAATATATTGTAAACATGTGCTCGTATTGTAATTCCCTATCTATCCTGTTATTTCTTCTTGCTACTTACCTTTGGCATAACTGGGTATGACGGGTTCCCGCAACCAGTCGCCCAAACTAGCAAGTATGATATCCACCCGACGGTGGGTGGTCCGGAAGCCGTCGACCCGATCCAGAGAGTAGCAGCCGGCCCACAACGGCCCGCGCAGCCGCAGGATGATGGCCGCGGTACGTTGGCACGGGTGTGGCCGCCGAGGAAGTCTCCATCGGGCCTGTTGAAGGTAGTGGAGCGGAGTGCACAGTAGCGGCCTATACGAAGTACTCGAATAAAGAATCCAGCCGTATGAAAATGCGACACGGGGACTAGCGGGCTTGTCTTGTACTTGCTATATGTGGTAGATGATGCCTAGGCCGGCGCAAAGATCAATGAAACATACGTTGAGTTCTCTGCCCTTGTTCAGGTTCTAACACTCAATGTTCCTTGGCAGCGTGTGGGGTGAGTGGTGACCTAAGAGCGATGCGCAACGTCCTCTTACTCCGCATTCCGTTCTGGCGTGGTATTAGCTTATGGGGTACCATGGCAGTAAAAACAAGTGATACATATGAGTCTTCACCTCGATTCTTGTACACTGATCATTGTGGAGGAGAACTACCGCTTGTTGAGGACTGGTAGTGTGCTTGGGAGAAATGAACTAGTTTAAAAAGAGAGGGAGGAAACGAGGAACTTTAGAAAATTTATCAGCGATTCTACCAACAATACTCCTTAGCGTAAAATCCAATACCGCTTGAGTTGCATGCCACGGGGACTCGCATCTAAGCCTTGAATTACTAAGGAGCTGCGAAGGGTAGGATAATGCGTGGGAAATCAACCATGTCCTAACTTGAAGCATTGTATCCAAATGCCCCGTTGGAGTATAATAGAAGTAAGTTGACGCTAGGAAATACTCTGCTTAGCTCATTATTGTAACGTCTTTGCAATCGCGAGAGATTCGGTCCCAACATAAAAGAAAGAACCGAAGTCGGAGGAAGCGTGGTCAACTGGTATGAACAGAGCTCTCTGGGTCATCTAGGCCTTGAGAAAACAAGCCTTTTGATACCAAAGGCTGTTATCATCGACGAGTTGAGTTATTGCTCCAAGCCCTCACTCAGCCCTCCTCACACACTCGGCCGATAAAATATGATGAAAGAAAAAATAAACTACTTTGCAGTCTAGGCTTGATTAGCCTCGTGTTTTCATGGCAGGAAAACCCCAGTTTGTGTAGAAAAAGGCTGATTATAGGTCCAAGTGGCACTTTGCGCGCACGCAGCCATCAACACACCTTTACGGCCCAAATCTTAGCTCATAACAGCAATGGTCACCTAGCAAGCTCTCATCTCCCACGCAAATTGAACGGCTAGCTTGAGAGTATGTACATAGATCCAGTGGCAACTCCATGTAAGCCAACGTGAGTATGGTTGACCCTGTGAAGTGCAACAAAACGTACAAATGTGACGGGTGGTATGAAATGGGGACATTCTACAGAGTTGGCGAGGGTGTCGGAGAACATCTGGCATTTTGGAACCCAGTGTTGGGCAAACCGTGTCGCGCCATTTTCCTGGGAAATGAGCGCCCGCAACCGCATTCCCCAGATCCGCAGCCAACAAATCTAGAGTCAGGTATGGAACAGTTGTCTCTTGCGTCACAGGACTCTGCGCATGATGAGTTAGTTCAATTAGTCATCAAGCTAGGTAAAGAGGTGTGTTTCACGGCGAGCGATGATCGTGAAATGCGTACCGGCTGGGACAGCTGGGAACGTATCGTCAAGGGTGAAGTGACAACGTTCTGCTACCATTCTAGAAGGAAATCCAAGACTTATTGGGCGGATTATTTACCTGGTGAGCTGGTGGCACCCTTGTGGGGTGACTCAAGTGATTGGCCAATCTATTTCTTTACCAGCACTAATACCCGGATCGAAACCAAGAACAAGAAGTGGTTTGCGGGAAAGAATAACAGTTTTTATGTATATTTAAAGAAGCGGGTTTACTATGTCGCATTTAGCTTGCCATCGGCATAATATGCCTAGGAAAATTTAGTTGGCCGCATGGCCCCAAGTCCAATCAACCTTAGGCCCTTATGCGTAAGAAATTTTCGTCTTTGCTAAGATACTCGACCGAAGGCCTCTTATGAGGGTCGCTGTCTAGGAGCGCCAATATCAACGGTAAGAAATAAAGCCTAAGGTTGTCCGGCAGCTCATTCAATGACAGATTTTGCCCGCTTTTTAGGTGAGCCATGCAAATATTGTACTCCCTTTGGATCCCCTTGTCACTAAACGTTCCATCTGCATGGAGGAGACGAAAGCCGTCCGCTAGGATAAAGTAGATCTAGGTATTAATAGCATTAGCAGCATGGATCCAAGGTCACGAAGAGTGACATACCATTTGGCCAAGGTACCAGCTCTCGGCCTTGAATGGGTCCGTCGTTGTACGCCCCCCAAGAAGTTCTGGCGCGGGGGTTGTGCCGCGAGCAAAGACATGTTTGCTGTATGCAGCGCCGTCCATATGTCGAAATGCGTATCCAAAATCGAACAAATTGATGTCACCATGGCCATGACCGATGTTTTCGGGCTCAGTAACGCGCTGCGGAAGATGAGCTGGTGTTGGGGCTCCGTCCTTTCGAATAATGTCGTGTTCAAGGGGCGGTTCAGCCAGGAACTGATCGATTTGTTCATTAGCGGGTGGTGGAAGTGCAAGATTCCCGGCATGAAGGTCTAGAGGAACACAAGTTACATGATCAGTTTATAGTCAGTAAGAAACATGCAGAGTACTTACCTCCATGCACAACACCCATCCGGTGGAGTTCGGCGACGGCCTGAACGGCTTGCTGAATGCAACGCACCCGCAATTCTAGGCTCGGGGACTTGCATCTAGATACCTCTCCTCCGGAAGATTCACGGCGTAGATCCGCTCCCAGGGTTTCGTAGACAATTGCATCGAATTTCACATCTCGGTATTTAGGATGTGTTTCCGCCAGATGATGGGGGATCGTGAAGTGGTCCTCAATAATGGAGATGAATGGGCTACTACAACGTTGCTTTAAAAAGATGCCAATGTTCAGATCGTTGACCTGTCCCTGAGAAAGGAACTTGACGGTCAAGTACTTCCTAGTGACAGTATTAGGTAAGGGGAGGGTTTAGCAACAATGCTGATGCATCTCCATACTGCGTCTTGGGATCCTTTGTCAGCCAGCACCAGTCGCCCAGCCTGCGCAGCAGTTTGTACCCATTGTAGACATGGTTGCGATAGACAACCGGTTGGATGCACTCGTCCCAGTAGTGAAGATGGTAGTTGTCTCGCCACCAATTGCCACCGTGGGTGAATAATTTGTACTCCCTGTCATCCATATGGGGGGTTTTACGTATGGCGGAAGCGGCCCGCTTCATGGTCATGGTGAGTTTCATAGGAGACGTTGACGAAAATGTCGTACCGCAGAACAAGTGATAGAGGTGAGGAAGATGAGATGAATACGAGACATGGGGGGACAGGAGACTGGACCAGACCTCAGTCGCTGACTAAGCCCCTGGCACTTCGAAAGCTACACCCCATCCCGTGCCTCTAGGAATTGATACCACAATCGCACGGCTGTCATTGCGGTGAACCTGTACTTTACTTTTGTTGGCACCAGTTAGTCCGTTGGTCCTTCAACTGGCCCCTTACCCTGGCTATGCCAGTACCAGAAGGTGCCCGTCACTCTAGAGATGGAATGATTTTGCCTTTCTTGTGTCCCTTGAAAGGCTGGTTCTTACGCAACTCGTGTTAGGTAGCTTGCAGTTTGTGTGCTCCGACTGGGACAAGGCCACTACTGTTAGGGCCCACATGGAAAAAATATTATTAACTCTATTAAAATCCATTAAATTTTATTCTTAAATTAAGCTAATCTTATTTATACCCTTTAAGTTATTAAGAGAATTCTCCCTAATACTTATACTATTAGCACCTTATAGTTTAAGACCTTAAAGCCTTAACCGTTTTTTAAACTAAGAAATTCCCTAGTTACTTAAGTAAGCTAAGAAATAAAGATATATTACCCTTTAAAATTACGAATAAAGCTAAGTAAATCCCATCTTTAAATAAAGTTACTTAATTAAAAGACTCTTATATTATTATTACTCTTTAATATAAATTAATAACGTGAATTATTATTAACTCGTTTTATTAAACCTCGCTTTAATTATATTACGTACGTTAAAAATAAGCTATTAATAAGTTTACTTTTATATTTAAGTTAACGTAAGTATTAAATTAAAGTTATAGTTCTTTTCTTACTTTATTCTCTTAATAATAATTTTATAGTATATAACTTCTTCTTATTAAGTATACCTAAAAAACTAACTTAAGTCTTTACTTTATCTAAGAAATCTACTTAAAAATACTCTCTTTAATTATAAAACGTTATAGCCTTCCCTTTAAATATATTAAAAGATATTCCTATTAAAAGTAACCTATTAGGTTCTCTTATAAAACCTAAAGGATTTTACACTTTAATAAACGTAATAAAGTTACGTTTAGCTATAAAAAGAGCGGATATTTATTATATTAATAACTTATTATAAGAGTAAATTTAAACTTAATAAACTCTTACCTTAAGCTTTTAATTAGCTTCTTTTATTCTATTATTAAATAACTTAATACCCTTAAATAGCTTCTTATTACCTACTTTTACCTTATTATTAAAAAGAATAGTTAACCTAGTTAGTAATAAAACCCCTTTAAAAGCTTTAAGTAAATAATATTAGCCTATTAACGTTAATTTCTTAATAAAGAAACCTATATACCCCTTAAAACCCTTTAAACCTTCTTCTCTTTAAAGCTCTCCCTAATAGTAAATTAAACCTTACACGTAAGTATAATACGTGTATAATACTACTCTTTTTTACCTTACTAAGAATAAGATAAATTTTAAATAATATACTCTTCTTTAAGCTTATATTATTAATAACGTGGTTAAACTCGCTTATATAGTTAAATATATAATACTCTTTAAGAAACGCTATCTTATTAACGTATATATTCTTCGTTAATTACTTAAGAATAAAAATAATATTTTATTATTAACGCTTAATATAGCTAAGATTATTATACGTTTTAAGGGCGAATTAAACTATAATTATAAGAATAAACTAAAAACTCTTATACTTTCTTCTTATTAATCTTTAAAGTAAAGCAGCTAAATACCTAAGAGATAGCCTTATAACTTTACCTTTACTTACCTTATCTTATAATATAATAGTAACCTAGTTTCACGTTATATACCTTTTAGGGATTACTTACGTTACCTGCCTTCTCGTTAAAATACCCACTTAAATAAACGATTCACACGTACCTTTAAGGTAAACCTTCTCTCTTATAACTTTAAAGTAACCCCTATCTTAGCTTACATTAATAAATTAATAACGTGAATTATTATTAACTCGTTTTATTAAACCTCGCTTTAATTATATTACGTACGTTAAAAATAAGCTATTAATAAGTTTACTTTTATATTTAAGTTAACGTAAGTATTAAATTAAAGTTATAGTTCTTTTCTTACTTTATTCTCTTAATAATAATTTCACGGTATATAACTTCTTCTTATTAAGTATACCTAAAAAACTAACTTAAACCTTTACTTTATTTAAGAAACCTACTTAAAAATACTCTCTTTAATTATAAAACGTTATAGCCTTCCCTTTAAATATATTAAAAGATATTCCTATTAAAAGTAACCTATTAGGTTCTCTTATAAAACCTAAAGGATTTTACACTTTAATAAACGTAATAAAGTTACGTTTAGCTATAAAAAGAGCGGATATTTATTATATTAATAACTTATTATAAAAGTAAATTTAAACTTAATAAACTTTTACCTTAAGCTTTTAATTAGCTTCTTTTATTCTATTATTAAATAACTTAATACCCTTAAATAGCTTCTTATTACCTACTTTTACCTTATTATTAAAAAGAATAGTTAACCTAGTTAGTAATAAAACCCCTTTAAAAGCTTTAAGTAAATAATATTAGCCTATTAACGTTAATTTCTTAATAAAGAAACCTATATACCCCTTAAAACCCTTTAAACCTTCTTCTCTTTAAAGCTCTCCCTAATAGTAAATTAAACCTTACACGTAAGTATAATACGTGTATAATACTACTCTTTTTTACCTTACTAAGAATAAGATAAATTTTAAATAATATACTCTTCTTTAAGCTTATATTATTAATAACGTGGTTAAACTCGCTTATATAGTTAAATATATAATACTCTTTAAGAAACGCTATCTTATTAACGTATATATTCTTCGTTAATTACTTAAGAATAAAAATAATATTTTATTATTAACGCTTAATATAGCTAAGATTATTATATATTTTAAGAGTAAATTAAACTATAATTATAAGAATAAACTAAAAACTCTTATACTTTCTTCTTATTAACCTTTAAAGTAAAGTAATTAAATAC